GGGAGGGACTGGGAGTGGTACTTTGGGGCTTAGGGAAGGTTTCACTGAGAAGGTGATGTTGGAGCAAAGACCTGAGGGAGGTGAGATACCTGTGGACAGAGCCAATAGCATGTTAAAACCTCGGGTGGGTGGGTGCTTGGTGTGTTGTCTAGGGGAGAGATGATGGTGCCTTGGCCACAGGGTGGTAGCAGTGGAAGTGATGAGAAGTGGCTGGATTCTGACTCTTTGGAAGGTAGCGCCCACAGGATTTGCTGACAAATGAAGTGAGTGTGAAATAAAAAGAGGAGAGGTTCAAGGCCTGAGTGCCTGGGAGGATAAAGCCACCATTTACTAGGGGAAGAGAAGGCTGTAGGGGGACAGGGATTTGGGCAGATGGGATAGAGATGTTCTGAGAGGCATATGGGACTGTTAATGCAGAAGGCACTCAGCTCCACCCCATCCTCAAGACCTGCTGGGTTGGCAGAATAGGCCCTGGGAGACCAAAGGTGAGGTGAGTTGGTCACTAACAGAGTGGCCCTAATAACCAGGTCAGATTGGCCTGGAAGCCATGTCCTGTCACAGGAAGAGGGTCTACGCGGCTGCAACTGAGCAAACCCAGATTTCGGATGAAGCCAGTAATGGTCACGGAGTTCAGGGCCTTTGCACTAGCCGGGTCCTCAGGTGCGCCCCCAGAGGGCTCTGAATTACATTGCGCAGCAACAGAGCAGAAGGCAAAAAGGAAGGGGCAGGGCGAGGAGGGGCTCTACCTGTGGAGAGGAAGAGACCCAAGAGGGAGGCCTGGTTGCAGAGCCATCTGTGCTCAGTCAGATTGCTGCCGTTGTGTCCCTGCCTGGGCTCCTCTCCCCAGAACGTGTTTGTCTGCAGGCAGCCTTGGGTCCTGAGGCACCAGATCTTATGGAAATGAGCAGAGAGAGAAGGAACAACAAGCCTTGTACAGGAAAAGCTGTCACCAAGGGAGCAGCAACGTGGCTGCTGTCATCCCTGAAATGATTTAATCACCCCAAGCTGGCGAACAAAGGCAAAAAGTGTGTTTGGTGACAACTTATAACACCAGAAAATAACACTGTTGGGATTAGCAAAACAGGTCAGCCTTTAAAGGAAAAAGGACAAGATTTTGATTACGTGGTTGCCTATTTTTCTCCCCACTCAGATCATCTTTGGGGTTCCCCCAGGTTACAGGTTTCCACCAGAGGGTCTGCCACTCACCAGCCTTAGATTTTGGCAATATGAGAGCATTCTGTCCTTTTGCTCAAAGGGCCACTCCATAGAGAAACACTTGCTACCACAGCCAGAAAATTCAAGCATGCCTATTTCTCAAAATGCAAACCCAGAAAGCAAAGGGTGCATTAGACAACTTAGGAAAGACTATTTCAGTTTGTTTGATTGGCTCTTACTAAATATGGAGTTTTCCTTCCCATGGAAACAGGTGAAGCTGAAGAGAAAGGCATAAAATTATGAATGATAGAAGCTGTCTTTAACTAGCTTCCAATATACTTGAGAAACAAGAATAAGATGTAGCAGGCTGCAGTAATGTCCCTCTGGTGAAGAAGAAAGAAGGAAATTGCTTCTGGTATGAAAGTGTTACTATTTTAAGCGACAGACATATTCATGGGTAAATCTGTTATCTGTACATGCTTCAACACAGATGAATCTCAAAAAACATATGCTAAGTGAAAGACAAGAGACCATATGTTGTATGATTCCATTTAAATGAAATGTACAGAAAAGGCAAATCTATAAGGAGAAAGTAAATCAGTGGTTGCCAGTGACTTGGGGGAGGGGGAAATGGGGAGTGAGCTCTTAATGTCTACTGGTTTCTTTGGGGGATGATGAAAATGTTCTAAAGTTAGATTGTGTGCTCCACAAATCTGTAAATACACTAAACACCATTGAATTGCACACTTTAAATGGGTGAATTTAATGGTATGTAAATTACATCTCAATAAAGCTGCTTTGAAAAAAAAAAAAATCTGCTATCCCTGATGTTAACACACCAGCAAGGAAGGTGTGAGATGAGGCTTAGTGATTTTTTTTTTTTACTTGTTTTTATATAATAGCCACGACCAAACAGTGGAACAATATACTTTAGTAAGATGGATGTTTTAAAAATCATCCTCAGCATTGAATCCAAAATGTATAATGGAAGATAGATAGAAGCCTGAGTTGATGGGTCCTTAAAGAGATACAGGTAGTGCTTTTAGTATGATGATATGTGTATTCCTAAATGACCCTTCATCCAACGCATAAGTGGAATCAATCCATTTACCTTATTTCACCATAATAAGGAGACACTGCAGTCGTGGAACAGAAACAGCAGCGTAAATTAGACAAAGATCCTTTGTCTTCAGGCTCCCAGTCCTGTAGGATATAACTTTTCCCTGTGTAGCAGCCTTATTTCTCTCTCTGGAACTGTACACTGATTAACTGCAGCAGTTGTGTCCTGCTTTTTTTCTCCTGGCATACCCCTGTAGCTCAGGGTAGAGCACACCTAGGTTGCCAAGCCAAGTGTTGGGGTGGCTTCTTTCCTTTGATGCCTTGTGAGTGTGGAGGGCCCAGGTTATGTGTTAGGTGTCTCAAGAGATTTAAAGAGATTTAAAGACACTTAAAGAGATTTAAGTGTCTCAAGCCTACATGCTGGACCACATTCTGTTCCACCGGGACAGATGCGATTCTGTTCTTTGTGGAAATTTTTGGAGCTCCCCAGCCAGGCACAAACATTGATAAGCTATAGAACAGGAGAGAGTGTCCTCCTCTGTGCCTCCTGACAGTGTCTTTTATTACAGTTATCCCCTGACTGTGTGGATGTAATTGAAAAATGATAGTCTTTTCTAGGGCTTATTCCCATTTAGGGGTCACAGAACAAAGTTTTTAGAGTGGGCACAGCGAAAATAAGGATCTGCCTGGTGTGTCAAGTTCTTTCACAATGTTTGGCCTATCATAGCAAAAACTCAGAAATGGATTCTTGAAATGACATCAATGGATTCTTGAATGAATCAATGGATGAATGAATCTCAATGCCAATCACAAGTAAGAGGAATCTGAGGGTGAGCCCTGTGGGTGTCTGAGAACCAAGGGTATTGGGAGCTAAGTCTTGAAAGGTTCTGTTTAGATTTTCTTGCTAAAAAAAGAGCAAGGAGTAAAAGGATAACAACAAACCCCTCATGCTAAGTTGCTCCAGTTGTGTCCAACTCTTATGCGACCCTATGGATTGTAGCCACCTGGGAAGCCCTGATCTACAGGGCTTTGCAATTGCTATGCATATAAGTGAGAAGGAAGAACTCTCATTGCGGCTGTTTCCCTTTGCTCAAGTGCCAAGCTCATCAGAGTTCAATTATAAGATAGTCATGTTGCTAGAATTGCTCTTCCTCCTGGATATAGAAAAAGCAAGAGAATTCCAGAAAAATATCTACTTCTGCTTCATTGACTATGCTATGGCCTTTGACTGTGTGGATCACAACGAACTGTGGAAAATTCTTAAAGAGATGGGAATACCAGACCACCTTACCTGCCTCCTGAGAAATCTGTATGCAGGTCAAGAAGCAACAGTTAGAAATGGACATGGAACAATGGACTGGTTCCAAATTGGGAAAGGAGTACATCAAGGTTGTATATTGTCACCTTGCTTATTTAATGTATAGAGTATATCATGCGAAATGCCAGGCTTGATGAAGTACAAGCTGAAATCAAGATTGCCAGGAGAAATGTCAATAACCTCAGATAGGCAGATGACACCACCCTTATGGCAGAAATAGAAGAGGAATTAAAAGCCTCTTAAAGAAGGTGAAAAAGGAAAGTGAAAAAGCTGGCTTAAAACTCAACATTCAAAAAACTAAGTTCATGGCATTGGGTCCCATCACTTCATGGCAAATATGGGGAGACAATGGAAACAGTGACGGACTTTATTTTCTTGGGCTCCAAAATCACTGCGGATGGTGACTTGCAGCCATGAAATTAAAAGACGCTTGCTCCTTGGAAGAAAAGCAACAACAAACCTAGACAGCGTATTAAAAAGCAGAGACATTACCTTGCCGACAACGGTTCATCTAGTCAAATCTATGGTTTTTCCAGTAGTCATGTATGGATATGAGAGTTGGACCATGAAGAAGGCTGAGCACTGAAGAATGGATACTTTTGAATTGTGGTGCTGGAGAAGACTCTTGAGAGTCCCATGGACTGTAAGGAGATCAAACCAGTCAATTCTAAAGGAAATCAGTCCTGAATATTCATTGGAAGGACTGACGCTGAAGCTGAAGCTCCAATACTTTGGCCACTTGATGCAAAGAAACAACAGATTGGAAAAGACGTTGATGCTGGGAAAGACTGAAGGCAGGAGGAGAAGGGGACAACAGAGGACGAGATGGTTGGATGGCATCACTGACTCAAAGGACTTGAGTTTGAGCAAACTCAGGAAATAGTGAAGCCTGGTATGCTGCAGTCCATGGGGGTGGGGGGCAAAGACTCAGACACAACTGAGCAACAAGTGGGTATAGATGCCTCCGCTTGGATGTAGACTAAAATACTTGCTCTGTGAGAGACCTCAGATAGCAAGATTCCTAGAAATTGCTCCTTATGTGTAGGCTAAAACATTCACTCTGCCAGAACCCGGGACTATTCAGATCTTCAGTCTAATGCTCTCCCAACTGAGCTATTCCCTTTCAACGTAGCTTAGGAAAGAGTTTCTTGGAGAACAATTCCAATCCCTGGTGACTCAATGCAGGAGATCTGGGTTTGACCCCTGGGCCAGGAAGATCCTCAGGAGAGAAGGGAATGGCAACCCACTCAGGTATTCTTGCCTGGAGAATACCATGGACAGAGGGAGGCTGGAGGACTATGGTCCGTGGAGTCACAGAGTCAGACACGACTGAGCGACTAACAGTTTCTTTCACTGGATGTAGGACTCCTCCCGGATGTAAGCTGAAACATTTGCTCTTTGAGAGAGCTCAGATCACGGGGTTGCAAGAATTGCACCTTTCCTTGGAGGTAGATGAAAATAATGGCTCTGCTGGAACCCGGGATCAAACCAGGGACCTTTAGATCTTCAGTCTAACGCTCTCCCCGCTCTCCCAACTGAGCTATTCCAGCCCCCTAGCGAGCCTTGGCCTCAATGTATCTTAAAGAGTTTCTCAGAGGCGTCCCTGCTTCTTCATTGTTAACTGAACAATTGCAATGCCTGGTGGCTCACATAGTAAAGAATATGCCTGCAATGTGGAAGACCTGGGTTCGATCCCCAGGTCCGGAAGATTCTCAGGAGAGAGGGAAAGGGCAACCCACTCCAGTATTCTTGCCTGGAGAGTTCCATGGATAGACGGAGCCTGGTGGACTGTGGTCCATTGGGTCACAGTGTCAAACACGACTGTGAGACTAACATTTTTCTTCACTGGATATAGGACTCCTTCTGGATGTAAGCTGAAACACTTGCTCTTTAGGAGAGCTCAGATAGCGAGGTTGCAAGAAGTGTGCCTTTCTTGGGATGTAGATGAAAACAGTGGCTTCACAGGAGCCCGAGGTCAAACTGGGGACTTTTAGATTTTCAGTCTAACGCTCTCCTAACCGAGCTATTACAGCTAACTGATGAAACCTGCCCTCAAACTATGTTAAACAGTTTCTCAGAGGCGTCCTTGCTTCTTCATTGTTAACGGAACAATTGCAATGCCTGGTGGCTCACATAGTAAAGAATATGCCTGCAATGTGGGAGACCTGGGTTCGATCCCCAGGTCCGGAAGATCCCCAGGTCCGAAAGATCCTCAGGAGAGAGGGAAATGGCAACCCGCTCCAGTATTCTTGCCTGGAGAATTCCACGGACAGCTAAAACACTTGCTCAATGAGAGAGCTCAGATCGCGAGGTTGCAAGAATGTAGATGAAAACAATAATCCTACTAAAACCCAGAAGCTAACCAGGGACCCTTAGATTTCCAGGCTAACACTCTCCCAACTGAACTATTCTGGCCCCCTAGCAAGCGCTACCCTCAATGTATCTTAAACAGTTTCTCAGAGGCGTCCCTGCTTCCTCATTGTAATGGCTCAGATAGTAAAGAATATGTCCGCAATGCGGAAGACATTGGTTCAATTCCAAGGTCGGGAAGATCCCCTGGCGAAGGGAATGGCAACTCATTCCAGTATTCTTGCCCGGAGAATTCCACCGACAGTCCGAGCCTGGTGACTGTGGTCCATGGAGTGACAGAGTCAGACAGACAGAGTCAGACTGTGCAACTAACTTTTTCTTTCACTGGTTGTAGGACTCCTCCTGGTTGCAAGTAAGCTAAAACACTTGCTCTTTAAGAGAGCTCAGATAGCGAGGTTGCAAGAATTGCACCTTTCCTTGTATGTAGATGAAATCACTGACCCTGCTAGAACCAGGGGTCAAGCCAGGGAGCATTTAGATCTTCAGTCTAATGCTCTCCTAACTGAGCTGTTCCGGCTACCTTGGTAACCCTCTCTTCAACGTATCTTCGAGTTTCTCAGAGGCGTGTCTACTTCTTAATTGTAAGGGAACAATTGCAATAGCTGGTGGCTCAGATAGTAAAGAATATGCCCTCAACGCGGGAGACTTGGGTTCGATTCCTGGGTCAGAAATTCCCTGGAGAAGGAACATGGCAACCCACTCCAGTATTCTTGCCTGGAAAATCCCATGGATGGAGCAGCCTGGTGGGCTACAGTCCACGGGGTCCCAAAGAGTTGGACACGACTGAGCAACTTCACTTAGTACATCCAAGTGAATGAAAACACTGATTTTCTATCAGAACCCGGGATCGAGCCATGGACCTTTAGGTTTTCAGGCTAACCCTCTCTCAACTGAGCTATTCCAGCTCCTTATGATGCCTATCTCAAGGCATCTTTAAGGGGTCCTTGGGGGAGTTGCTGATTCTTAATTACAAGGGAACAATTGCAATTGTTTATTTGCAACCAGACAATTGATTTAAATGATCCCTACTTAGAAATTTATCTTAGGTGTTTGCAAAATAGCCTTGGAGTTATATTTTTATAGGTCTTCCCAAATATTGAGAAATGTGACTAAATAACAAAAGTTGTAAGATTGGGGAATCATGAAAGTGAGTATTCTACCAATAAAATAATGAGAGAGTAGAGAAGAAAATGATTTAAATCAGGAATTCTGTGTGAGTTTTGTCATATCTGTCTACCAGGTCATTGGCAGAGTGAAGTCTCCTTCTTCCTGCCCTCCTTATTTATTCCTCGTAACACACATAAATATACAGTGACCACAAAGAATCAATTTCTAATGTATGGAAAAACCTAAAAAGGAATTCTGAGTTGATGGGTCCTTGAAAGTTGAGAGAGCCATGAAAGAGCATGATTTGAAAGATTGACATTGAATTTAAAAGTTGAATTGGATGACATTTTAGAGATTTGCCTTTAATTTCTCCTTAATTAAGCATTTCACTCTGCCAGGGCTATATTTAGAAATTTTAAAATGATTGAGTGTATTGAGCCTTTGGGGATTCCTGACTCTCAGTTGGATTATGCTTTCTATTAGTGTCCATTGGTATTCGGCATGTTATGTTAATCCATATTTAAACTAGGGTGACCTCACATCCCGATTTGCCTGGGACAGTGCTGGTTTACACCTGTTGTCCCAGTAGAATTATTAATAGCATCCTCTGCCACTCTCAGTAGTGTCCTGGTTTGGAAGATTAAATTCTATCATCACCCAAATTTGGCTCCTAAAAACTTTCAAGAATATACCTGACTTCCTTAATTGTTGCAATTTATAGTTATTTTACACAATTTTGAGACCCTTTCTTCTTTCTGTCCCATTTTTAGCATCCTTTGAACTTTAGAAGGCTCCTCACAGAACCTGAAAGCCAATGGTGAGACAAAGAGGACCGCATCACACAAAGAAAACTATTGTTCATTAATAACACATATTAAGTAATTAGCATCCTTTGCTAATTAATAATATTTTAATTATTCTGGTTGCATTTCTATTAATCAGCTATATGATTAATTCAATTGCATTATTAAGTATTTAATGAGTGCTAATGGTTTGATAGCACATACCTTCATAGCCAAAGAGAAGTAAAAACAAGAAGCCTTCTATCTTGTGTGGCATTCTCCCCTTGTCCTTGGCTGCTGCTCTTCCTTATCAAAGTGGAGAGCTTTCCTAGGAACAGAAGCTTAACTTGAGCACTGGCCTCATTAAGCATCTTATTCCATTTAGTTCTTAGGGCTTTGGCTGAGCCCCGCTAAATTAACCCACATAGTTACCTGCCTCAACAAGAAGTCTCAGAGAGGAAGCTAATGTCAACTGAGGTCGGTTTAGCAAAGGAAGATACTGGCTTTATCCTATGTTTAAATGGAAGCGAAGCAGAGGAGGAAAATAGAAACTAGCATCAGAAGACCCAGGTCTTAATCCTTTCTCTGCCATCATCTTCTAAGGGGTGACCTTGAGCAATTTCCTGCCGAGTAAGCACTAACTTCTTGAATTCTATGAAAATGACATGGATTCCCCTCTCAGAAAGCAAGTTGGCATCATGTTTATGCATATTTTCTCTGGAAAACAGTAAATTGGGAGGGGGGTCAGTTACAGACAAAGATTTACATTGCTGTGTTGTTATAATAAGACAAAATTGGAAACAAACTACATGGTCATCAAGGTGGGGATTCAGAACACCGAGCAGGGTTAAGAGCACAGATTCCCAAGACAGACTGGACTGGATGCAAATCCCAGCTCAACCAGTGGTAATGTGGCCTTGAGAAAGACAGGTAAGTTCTCTGTGCCTTGGTTTTCTCCTCTGGAAGATGGTGAAAATAATGCCTACTTCATAGAGTTATAGCATTAGGCTACTCACTCCAGAAGAGATAGGCTACCCCCACTCCAGTATTCTTGGGCTTCCCTTGTGACTCAGCTGGTAAAGAATCTACTTGTAATGTGGGAACCTGGGTTCGATCCCTTGATTGGGAAAATCCCCTGGAGAAGGGAACCGCTACCACTCCAGTATTCTGGCCTGGTCGCAGAGTCGGACAAGACTGAGCGACTTTCACTTCACTTCATAGAGTTAGTTTGAGGCTTAAATGGGATTATATATATATATAATAATATATATACATAATATAATTATATAATAATAATAACTAATTATGTTAAACAAAATGTTTAACATAATTAGTTATTATTATTGTACAGCCATTAAGAATAAAGTTGATGGGGTAAGGGGAGTTGCTTAACAGATCAGCATTTCATAAAAAAGTTGTGGAGATCTTTTTCACAACAATGTGACTATATTTAGCATTTCTGAACTATACACTTAAAAACAGTTAAGATGGTTTTTTTAAAAGGTTAATGAAGTGATTGTAACAACAGGGACAATCGTGTTACACTCCTCAGTTAGATATGGACACAAATTTACCCACTGTATGAACAAAAACAATGTGGAAAAATGCAGAGAAAAATACTGTTTCCCCTTCCCTTTTTAGTTCTTGGCCACCATTATCCCACCTCAATGCCCCACGGTCCCAGAGACCTTTACTTCATTCCTCTTGTCGAAGATGAAAAAGGTCAATATCAAAAAGATAACAATAAGCCTTCCCACCCCCTCAAAAGCAATGAATTAATACAGAGGAACAAAAAGGAACTAGAGTAATGTTTAATCATTCAGTTAGCATTTTGGGGGTGTCCACAAGCCTGACGCTTACTCTATACTATGCATGGGTTCTTCATACTTTTTTATTTTATTCTTCATTGAACAGACGGCGGTCTGTTTAAAGTCTCTTCAACAAACCCTACTGCAGTACTACAAAGAAAAGGACTATTTTTTCCCTCTGCTCTGTATTTTAGAGTTTAATGAAAAAAAAATTTAGTAGTAGAAATAATAATAATAAACCTTAATAATATAACTGCAGTCAAAGCACTTCTGTACTATATTTTAGTTGGAGACTCTGGGGGGCCGGGCTGCCCTGGTTTGTAGGGGAAGGGCGGCGCCGGGTGATGTTGGTTCCCACGAGCGCTGGATTTCCCTAGGTTGCTCCAGAGTACCGAAGGAGACGTGGGGGTAGGACCCCGGCGGAGCAGGGGGCCCTTGGGACTACAACACGGCCAGACCCCAACTTTTGCAGTTTCCTAGGTC